CTGTCTTTCACCATATACAGGATGACCACTCACATTCTGAGAAAATGTGAACTTGTATCTCTTTCGGGTTGAAAAACGGACTTGCATCACTCCACCTTGGGTTTCGGTGACTAACTACCACCCCCGTAGGGAGGATTTCTCTCGCGAACTTCCACATGAAGTGCCGCACTTTTGGTTGAAACTCTTCCACAGTTTCGCTTCACCCACTCCTACCACCCCATTTTCCAGCTGGAAGCTTTGTAACCATTTATGATACCCTTCCTTTATAGTATATAAGCCCGATTTGTTGTCATGCCAAATTAGTTTGTCCACTTTATTGTTTCCACGGATAGGGATTTTCCGGATAGCCATAGCCACTTTCGACGGGAAGCATGCCTCCAGTAGCGTATCATCCCACGAGTTCGTCTCATGCTTATAAGTTCCCAAACATATGAGTCCACCGGGAGACCAACCGGGGCCGACGGGACAAACTGATCATCCAAACCAGGTATCCATTTGTCCCCCCATATCTTGACATTCAGTCCATTACCTATCCTCCATCGGAGCCCGCTTGTGAGAAGATTATGCGCACTAAGGAGGCTGCGCCAGACAAAACTCGGGCGGTACCCAATTTTTGCATCCAGAATAGAAGTGCGCTTATGATATTTTGCCTCCAGGATCTTTGCAATCAATGAGTTCGGTCTTTGCATCAGATTCCAGAGTTGTTTGGCGAGCAGCGCCTCATTGAACCCCTTAAGATCTCAAAACCCCATTCCACCATCCCTCTTCGAGCTCACCATTTCTTACCGTCGTAAACTGTGAGCTCTCCTTTCATCTCCAATTTGACCCCACCAGAACTTCATAATAAGGCTTTGGACTTAATCAATTATTCCATCTAATACCCTGAAGACTGACATAGCGTAGGATAATTGGGCTTGTGCCACCGATTTGATCAAGACCTCCCGAGAAGCTACGAAAAGTGTGCGCTCCTTCCAGCCGTTCAGTTTCTTATGCAAACGAGCCTTGATCTCCTCGAACAGTTCCTTTTTCGATCTCCGAGCTTTAGTCGCTAGGCCAAGATATTTGTTGTGTTTGCTTACACGAGTCATTCCAAGCACTCCCGCAATCTCTAGCTGATGATGAACGAAAGCATCGGCGCTAAACGAGACATCAGATTTCTCAAACCTAACGTTTTGTCCCGATTCCTTCTCGTAATATGTTAGGATACTCTTTAGAACTTTGTCAGTGAATAAAAAGGTGTGATTCGACTGGTGCACCAAGCACCGGTTGTATCCCATGTAATCTATTCTCCCAAACTGCTAGGGAGGTGTATGCTGAGAAACCTGCCGCACATAGGAGGAAGAGATACGGGGACAGGAGGCCGCGGCTGGGTACAAACTTGGGGGATTGATGCCCGTTAACAATGGCCGAATACGTGACTGAGCTCACGCATAGCATAATCACCCGCACACACCTCTCCTCAAAACCCATCTTTCTCATAAACCCGGCCAGGAAATGCCATTCTACACGATCATACGCTTTTGTCATGTCGATTTTAGCTACCAGGATTCCCGGACCCTTAGCCCTTTTCTTTTTCTTTATCAAATGAAAACATTCGAATGCAGCCATCACATTGTCTGTAATAAACCTTCTCGGAACAAAGGCACTCTGTTCTTGGGAAATGACCTTATTGAGCAGCACCTTCGGCCTGTTAGCTAATACTTTTGCTGCGATTTTGTAGAGGACATTACACAGGTTGATTGGTCAGAATTCCTTAGGGTTTGTTGGATGCTTTACCTTCGAAATCAAGGTTATCAACGTGTGATTCCGTCCATTTGGGATTTCTTCCTTCTCAATTATTACTGTCACAGTTTGTACCACATCGTCACCTACGATGTCCCAGTACTTTCGGAAAACGAAAGCCGAGCGACTGTCAGCCCCTGGCGCCTTACGTCGCCCCATCTGTTTAAGAGCACCTACAATTTCCTCCCTGTCGCCCGACCGAAGCAGCTGTCATTATCAGCCTCACCAATTGTTCTTGGGATAGCGTGCAAGACTGGGGTAGACGTGGGAATGTTCCCTGTTGCAAACAACAGACCATAATAATTGTTAAACAATCAAAGAGTTGGTATGTTCCTGTATACCATCTGCCGAAATCATCCTACAATTTCCGAATCATGAGTAATCTAGTTATCCGACTAACAGTGAGTGCAAGGGAGATGCCAAAATTTTATTTCTGTTTTAGGCTCCTGCTTGGACGCAACACTTCCTCTAGCTTGGACGCAACATCCGACAATTTCACTACAATTTGGGGGCTGGGGAAACATATAAGAAACCATTCATGAGCGACCCATCAAGCAAGCACAATCCCAGAAGTTCCCTCCATGAATTAAATCATTCCCAAACCTTAGAAATTCAATTCCACCAGGTCATAATTTCCCCCACCGAAGAAATTGTTTATGGTCTCTGGGTTTGCTTTTCAGCAACCAATTTAGCCACTACAATGGTCCTATTCTTCTTCACCTTACTCTCCAGGTCTAGATCTACTTACAGAGATCGATCTCCAAGTTGACTATAGGTGTTCAACTCGGTGAGAGGAGACGGCGGTGGGTTAGAGGGCCAGGAGACGAGTCACAACGCGAAGCAGGGGAAGGGTGGATATTGCGGCTAGCAGACGGTGCCGATGCATCTCAACTGGGTTGATGTTGTGACCAGCAAGCAGGAGCTTATCATTGACTCGTCACTTCTCTCGAGTTCTCGTCGTGTCGCCGTAAGCCAAAGTCCACCTCGTCATCATTAGAGCTTCGACCAACAGTCGTCGTTGGCACCTCTCTCATTCGTGGTGGATTGATTAGAACATATTGTTGGTCGACGGTGCCTCTCTCTCATTGCTTGGGTTTGGTTGCAGAGACATAGAGATGGAGGAGGAAAGGGACGAAGGATTGGAACGAATTGGGGGAAGGGGGGGTTCGACGAATTGAAGCTATTACCGCTAGCCCGATGCGCTGCATTTTGCCAGATTTTGGTATCCGCTTAGTTCATTAACCGCCGGTTATTAACCAGTCGTGATCCGGTATACAGTCCTGTCATGTGTTGTTGCCGACAACCAACACAGTCGGTTCACGGTGTAACCGATAACCACTGGTTACCAATACGGAGACTGGTTAAAGCGTTAACCAAAAAACCGACTGCCAGTACTAATCAAAATATATACAAACTAATCATATAAACATTACAAACACAATAGACAAAAATAACAAACTAGAATGATAAACCATACAAAGCGAATTGATATAAACATTACAAAATGGACTTATAAACATTACAAAGTAGGTCGACAAACATCACGAAGTCAATACTGCCGCCGAAAAATCCGCCTCCGCCGTCTCTGGTCGCCAGAAAATTCGCTGACGCCGATCGCCGGAAACCACCGTCTCTCTCTCTCTGCGCACAAGGGGACGTCCCCCCAAAAAAATGTTTGGCAAGAAAAGAACACGTCCGAGCAGAAGGCGACCGACCGGAGCACGGGTGGGAGGATGTTAGACGCCCATTTTTTTATTATTATTTTAATTATTAAATAAATAACTTATGTAATTACTATATTATCCTTTATTAAATTGGATTAATTAAAACCATTGGATTTTAATGAGGTGGAAGTGTTGAGATTCACTTTGTCATGTGACTAAGGACCCCATAGTCACCTGTTCTTGACCCAAAGCCATTAGGACTGGGAATCTAGACCAAACCGTACGATAAATTGCAATTTACACCGTATCGCACAATTTGGTCCAGACCGCGAGACTAGGAATACAATTTGGTTTGGTCCATAGTGTACCTCTTTAACTTGCAGTATGAGATGGTCTGGTCTAGTCTAGTTTAGACCACGGTTAATCGTACAGACCGTGACCCCAATAGCTAGTGCGGGCTTGAGATAGTATCCTCACTCCAAGGCCCAATTCACTTCGTCTCTCAAGTACCAAGGAGAGGGTGGCGTTTGAACTTGAAATTTGTAGTTTATAGGAGTTACTAGTTATTGTTATTGAATTAAGGATTTTGTTTATTCTTATGAATTATTATATGAACTTTGTACTATGTTAAGTTGGGTTGTAGACTTCAAATTATTAGTTGGTAACTTGGTAGGTAGTAGTTACTTTGTAACTAAGTATTTTTTTGGTTGTTATGTTGACCTTCCAACTTTGTTATTGGTGACAATGAGATGCCAATATATTTTTAGTGTTAGTTAATAGCTAGTTTTTTTTTTTTGTATTGGACAACTAAGATTGTGTTGAAACATGGTTTGGTTTGTTCAGACCGTACCACACATATGCGATCTTGATCGCATAGTATATGGTCTTTGTTCAAACCTCTCGATTTGGACCGCAAATCATAAATCTGATATGAACTAGACCACACCGTTTCATAGCCCTAAAAGCCATAAAAGGAGGATATGCGTCTTGGACCAGTTGGTATCTTCAGCTAAATGGCCCACATGGTGAGTTGAGCTGCGTATGAGTACCATTGGATTTATATTTTGGGCCTAAATGAGGAACTCATTGGGACTCCCAGAAAGGGAAGAAAGGCCGTTAGTTGGTGCCGCAACAGCCAGTCAGAACTCGGAAGGGAAGGAAACAAGGTCCTCCTCTGGTGATTTGAAGGCAGAAAAAGAGAGGGCTGGAAGTTTTTTTTCTTCCGGAAAAAGACTTCCTCGCTTGAAAGCCCTCTGTTCCTTTTCCCTGCTGGGGCGCCATTAAAGCGAAAAATACAAAGTACTGAAAAAGCAACCCCAAATATTGAATCTCGAAAGAGCTGAACTCCCCACATAAGAAGGCAGAGCAAGAGAGGAAAAATTGGAAGCGAGCAAGATTCGGGGAGAGAAAAAAAAAAGGGGGGTTCGTGACATTTTTGAGAACAGTTCGAAACCCATCAGTGGAGGGATTGTGGGATTCTCGACCAAGAGAAAGTGATGAAACCAGGTTGAGTTCAGAGGGGGTGTTTGCTGTTTACAGAAGATGGTTCCTGTCATGGGGAATTTCCTCATTGGATTCGTCTTGCCCTTATTGCTTCTAACAGGTAATGTCATCCAGCAGGGCCGTCTTTTGTTTCTGATCATTTTGCTGAGCTGATGGACTTGGGGATCCCAATGTGCATCTTCTTGTATCGAATTTGCTTGCTTGGACTTTAGAAACTCGTATTCTTGCGCGACTTCGACTGGAGAAGTTGCAATCTTCAAGTTTTCATGGTTTTGGCTCTTGCTTCTTCCCTGTTGGGTTGAAAATCTCGCAGCTAGTGTTTACAACTATCCCATTCTGTAGATTAAGCTCTTATTGTTGATTGATATTTACTGAATATCAGATTTATACGCCTATGCTCTGAGAAATTGATTTGGGTTAGCAGAAAGATAAGTTTGTCAGGCAGAACCATGATACTCCAACATAAATTTTACACATATTTTTCAAGGGATTTGTAAGTAAATTTGAATTTTCCACTTTCCTAGATGCACATTGTTCAAACTTCAAACCACAAGATATGGAAGGAGGTGTTATGTACGGAAGTCTTTCTTGAGTTGACATTAAAAATGGTTCAACTCGTCAGCGGCACTCACAAGTCACATCTGCTGGATGCTTATCCAATGAGCACTGAAGAAATATTGCTAACGCGTTTTTTCTTCTTCTTGCAGCTGCTTTGCTAAACCAGAGTTTGATTTCTCTGGTTAATGTAATAGCATTCCTTGTTATCCCATACACAGTGCCAAGTATTGGTGAGTTCTTTCTTTCATATATTGGCGGTTTGAAACATTGATTATTCTATCCGAGTATTCTGGATTAATACTTGGTAAAATATTGCTATGGTAAAAGCTGTGAATTAGGGGTTACTTGCATTCACTGAAAAAGGCATTCTCCAGATTAAGTAGCCCTTTTCCTTTGGGAATTGCTCAGTTTTCGGGGAACATTCACAAATATTTTTTTTGTGTTGATCAAGAATGAAATATATATTTTCTTTTGCTCTGGGAGGGGGCCTGGTATACCATCTTTAACAATAAAAACTTAGCTTATCTGGGTTCTTACTCAAAGATACTGAGGTTATATTTGAAAAGAGTTGCACGTAGTAATGGTCAGGATCTAGCTTGTCAGAGAATGAAAATCATGGTATCAACCTCATTATCATTGACTGCACAAAAATGCTCACTATGCTCGAACTGGTTATAAAAAATCTTTTTTCAGATATGCTTTCCTCCATGGTTGTAAACACAGTTTATAGTGATGACTTTCAACTATGTTTAATAGGTTGTTATACTGCAGCCCTTGTAGTTGGCTCTTCTTCTGAATGCGATCAAGTTGATATAGCTTCAAGAGTTTCCTTATTGTAACATAGCAATTGTAAATTTTTTTGGTAGGATTTCGTTTCGGCAGGCGCCTTCTGTTATTGTGGCCAGTTCTTGGATTTTCGGTGATTGTTATTTGTGCTCAAGTAGTATATCTGGTTATTTGGGCAATCGAAGGAGATGGGTGGGATGAAGCAAATTCTTGGTGGTCACGTTTGGTGGGGTTTATGATGTAAGCTGGACGATTCTTTTGATTCTGCTATTTCCTCCTTTGAACCGATCGCTGCTAATTAATACATTGTTCTGTACTATGCAGAGTTAAGTCTTGGAAATCACCCTCAGTGGTCTATTTCTTGGCGCTACAGCTATTGGCAGTGTTTGCTGTTTTGATTGATGTATACGGGAATCGATTTGGTCTAGTTCCATGGCAAGGTTCTGCATGGGGCCGATTGTTAGCTGCTCTCGAGCATTTAGGTTTGTAAGTAGACCACAATAGCTATAACCTCTTTCTCATGATAATCTTTTTCTTCATTTCTTTCTACTGATATCCGAATTTTTGTATTTTTTTGGGTTAGATTTGTATCTTGTATTCACATAAATGTAACTTCTGACCTTCAGTAATCATACAATTAGTCATCAGTAATTTTATGGTCAACTAGTTTCCTCTCATTGTTGACTTGCCTCCAGCCAGGCCCCTTTAACTGTCTCAGTCCCTACCATCAACTATGTAGATGATGAATAATTTCTGGTTGTGGCATAATAGTGAGAAGTCTTTCTTCCATTTCAAAGTACTGTCACATGAGAGATTTCTTGGAGTTGATGCCTGTTAAACAAATGAATAATCTGTCAATCTGTTTGAGAGAAGCAGAAACCTTTTTCTCCCTTACTTTCTGTCCATATGGAGACATACTTGAAGAACTTACTGTTGTACTTGTATATACACATTTCACATTTCTGCATTTCACCATGAAATACAAAAAAGATGCAAAGATTCCAAACATAATTTTTCTCTTAAGAGTTAAGTGACTTTTAGGTATAATTTCTCTTCGTCAGTATATTTTTCAACCTATATAGTAATGGCGTTCCAGGATACTTTCCAGCTGTTTAAGTTGCCTGTTCATGAAGGAACTTTAGAACTGCAGCAGTTAAGAAATTTTCTGTGGCAAATTTACTTCTGTGAACACTGAGCTGTAGGTGCAGTAACCTTGATGAATTCTCAAGTTCTTTATGTGAGCAGCGCTTGTATTTTGAGGCTTTGGCTCTCGGTTAATGTTTTCTTAAACTTGAATGCATTGGGGGTTTGGAACTTTTTATAGACTCATGTTCTTTCTTGTGTTTCCCCACGATTTCCCCACTCTTTTTTGTTTCTTCATTGATCCCCTTATATTTTATTGTGCGATTAATGTTGTATTCTAGCGTATTAACTAGTGCATTTATATTGACTGGTTTCATTTCTCTGTTTGGCTACTTGAAAGGTTCTCATTTCAAGGTTGCCTCCTGTTTGCTGTTGCCTGCTGTCCAGCTGGCTGTGGGAATTAGTCAACCATCGTGGCTGTCTCTGCCATTTTTTGTTGGCAGTTGTGTGGGTCTTGTGGATTGGTCTCTCACAAGCAACTTTCTAGGACTCTTCAGGTGATGTTTGTTACTCGAGCCTCTTCCTATATCTGTTTGTGATGTTTTTATTCATGCATGTGATGTATCAGTTTGCACGACTTTGTACCTTACAGATGTTGTCACTGAATAAATTTTTATCATTTTGATTTACTTATGAGTTATGACTGATACATTGTCAGGTGGTGGAGGACTCTTCAGCTATATGCCAGCTTCAACATTATTTTACTTTATGTCTATCAGCTCCCATTTGAGTTGCCAACTATTTTTCCCTGGGTAGCTGACATTATTGGTCTGTTCAAGATATCTGGAAGTTTGGAGGGGCCCAAAGTTTGTTCTGGTCTTTCACTTGTGCTATATTACATCATGGTATGTATTGACTATGTGCTTAGAGTATAAAGCCGGGTCTTGCTGTGTGCATGTCAGCTCTTATTGCATATCATATTTTAGTCCATATGTGGAGTGAATCTAACTTCCTTGTAGCTCCTATACTATTTCACATGCATATTAGTTTGAAGCTCACAACCTGATTGTTGCTGTTTCACAGACTAAACTTATTATATGATACAAATAACTGCTGTGACTAACATTTGGAAACACAGTTTTCATTTTGTTCATTTCCTCATGGAGAGACAAAAGGACTCATTTTAGTATAGTATGTCTTTTGCTTAAACGTAGACTAACCAAAGAAAATATGAAAGTATCCAAATGAAGTGACTTTATTTAATGAACTAGTAGGATGTAATGTGAAGACAGTAATGCTGACATGTTCTGGCGACTGATTGAATGGGTCACGAATTATTTGTATATATAGAATTGTGCTATATATTATTGTCTGGTTTGATATTCTTTTCTGCTCCTACATATGGCTGCGAGATATGTGCATAATTAGATTTTAAATGAAATATGGTATTGTCAATATGGAGATTGAGGTTTCACGATGGTTGTCTTTGCTCCTTTAACTGATGTTCAATACAGCTGAACTAGAACTTCAAACCATTGTTTATAGGAAGGGAAACACATTTTAATCCATGGTTGGGTGCTCTCTTACCTACATGCAACATTGCTCCTCTAGGTTATTCCCTATTCGGTGTTCTTAATACTGTTGTTCCTTCAAATGCAGCTATCTTTTGTTAAGTGTGATTTAGAGGAAATGGATATCATTCTGTCTGTGAGTGAAGGTAATTTGAGAGAGCGACTTCTCCCCTTAAGGCACTCCTTTTTCATTCGTGAATCAAGGTGAGATAATTTCTCCAGTCCTGCAGTATCCTCTTTGTATATCTCTTACACCAAATAGCGTCAATGATATGTCACTCTCTTGAATCCTCTTGGTAATTTGATCACTTGCGGCAGTTTATTTCATTGCGCCCTGAAGCTCGTTCATCTTCTTTAGCTCCCCTGCCATTTGAGGTTGTGAAACTTGACTAACAAGTTGAAAGAAACCAGCCTTTGTATGCATGTAGATTATTCAATGAACAAAAGAGCTTAATTGCTTATCTCACTAGGCGTGGATTACGTTGAGTCTATCAGTATCTTGAATAACGCATTGGTAATGGAATTCTTTTGTATACTGTTGCTGTCAAGCTCACTGAACCATGGGATAATTTACAGATCTGGTGTCAGGCATACCAATGTCTTACTCAGGGGAGCAGTTTTCCGGACTTTTAGCATCAACTTTTTTACATATGGGTTTCCGGTACGTAATACTGTGCCCATACTTTCATACACCTCCTTGGTGCTTAGCAAGAGGCCTTTTAGTGGCTACTCGTTGAAACCCAATTGGTTCACTTGCTGAATTGCAGATGATTTTGCCTCCGAGTCTTTGGTGGAAAAGTATGTTTGCTTGAAATTGTTGCTTTTTGCAAATTTCTCGGGAATCAGATTCAACCAATCCATTGGACTTCGACTTCAAATCCATGAATGATATATTTGATTTGTATTATTATGATTCCAGAATCTAGGTGGTGGTTTTAATACCATTCTCTATGATGATATTATTTTTCCTTTTCGTTTTTTTGGTTGAATCTTAAGGTCTAAAACTAGGCCAGGGTGGTGTCTCCATCTTAACTATTTACTATTTAGTCAGCCCTTTTACTTGGTTATTTGACACGCTGCCCGGATTTTGCAGGTCTCCTTGTTTGCTCTGTCTTACTGGAGTTTCCATTTCGCAAGTCTATGCGCATTCGGTTTGCTCGCATATGTTGGGTACATCATTTATGGCTTCCCTTCAGTGTTCCGTTTACACCGGTTAAATGGTCTACTTCTTGTCTTCATTCTCCTTTGGGCTGTGAGCACATATGTCTTTAATGTTGCTTTTCCTCTCTTGACTGGAAAACTTGGAAAGGTGGTTCTCTCTTTAGCATAATTTTCTTCTCATAATAGGTTCATCTATTTTGGGTTGATCATAATGACCTCGATATGCATGCAGGATATGGAGATATGGGAGATGGTTGGTCTGTGGCATTACTCCATCCCAGGTCTATTTTTGTTTGCACAATTTTGTCTCGGGATGTTGGTTGCTTTGGGTAATTTGGTCAACAATTCTGTCTTCCTCTACTTGTCTGATGAGGTTTATCAGTCTTCACTTCACAATTCAAGTATTGAAGGTATTCGAGCTCTCTCACACTAACCAGATGATTATCTTTTCAGTTTATACGGACTTTTATATAATCATTCATCTCAGAAATCTATGTATAATGTAGAAATAAAGTCCTTGATACAAATAGTTCCTCATAATTTTGTGAATATTACTTAGCGATTTCCTTTTAGATTCTGTTTTGGACTGATACGTCGTGTGATTAGTCAAATTCTAGGTTAGACTCTGTCTATTCAACATTCACTGATGCATCTATTATGTGCTTCGACTTGCAAAGGGACTATCTATTTGGCATTGAATATGTGGTATATTCATTTTAATTATTGTACTGTTCGCCTCTCCACAACATAAATTAGACAAGGACTGTAGACCCTAGACGGTGCTTTTTGTAGTTTTTCTAATAACTATACATTAGGGTTCTGTGGTTTTACCTGCATAGGGACTATCCATTTGGCATTGAATATGTGGTATATTCATTTTAACTGTTGTACTGTTTGTCTCTCCACGACATATATTAGACAAGGGTTGTAGGCTCTAGACGGTGTTTTTGTAGTTTTTCTAACAACACTACTTTTGGGTTCTATCGATTTAGTCAAAACCTTTTTGGTTGTTATTTAGTGCATGTTTCAGTCCGTAGATCTTCGTAAAAACTTATTTATTTTCTTTGTAACTTTGATCATAAGGTCCACTAATTATTCTATTGAGACTCCGTGCTATTATATTTTGATGCATTAGTTCTCACGTGCTATTAGAATCTGGGAGTATAATAATTTGTGATAACAGATTCTAATTCTTGGTCCAACAGAACAGTCTCTTGCACACTGTTGATGTATCGTAAGATTAGGGAATTGTAGAAAGGTCTAAAAGTTGTGAAGCATGCTCTACTTCATCTCCACGCAATAGATATCCTTTCTGTTACTCAGAAGTGCCATGAAATATGGCTTTAAGTTCTGGCTAGGAATTATGAGAGCAAATGATATGTCTCCTACTAATTGCTCTCTTTTGTTTTCAAATGAACCTCCAACCAAGCGTGAAATCTTGTTGAATGTGTAATTTTGATACTTTTTGCATCTGTGTGATCGTTTTGATTTCTTTTGAAAAGTCATGTTTTACCAAATCTTGAATGCATGTTTTCCTAATATACCCCCTAAAAAAAAAAGCTTAGTAAGGTACATTCTTTTGCTTGGTTGTTCTCCCTTTTCCTTGCGTCCCTGTAGATACTTGTGCCCTGCCTGTTCATTTCTCTGGTGCATGATATCTGGGAAGAAATATATGGTTTGTGGCTGTGATAAAAATTCCTTTAGTTCAACGCTTGTGATCACTGTAACACCTAATCGGTTTTACTTATTTCCCATAATGATTTCAGAGGAAGAGGGTACCAAGGTGATAATTGTGGCTACTATTGCATGGGGACTGCGGAAATGTTCTCGGGCTATTATGTTGGTTCTAATATTCCTGATTGCTATGAAACCTGGTTTCATTCATGCAGTATATGGTACATTTCTGACTCATCCCCACATGAAACTTTTGAGCTTCTATTCTTAGTTCATGACAAGTAGCGAAACTTGGCTTATGTTAGTTAACTAATTTATTTACCCCCATTTCCCTTTCCGATCTGTGTTTCAGTGATCTTTTTCTTGATGTATCTTTTGGCCCACGACATCAGCAGAAAGATGCGACAGTCCCTGATTCTTCTCTGCGAAGTTCATTTTGGTCTATTGTACATTCTCCAGATCAAGTTAATAAGTGATGCTTTAGAGCAGAAAAGTATGGAAGTTCTGATGCAGTTAGGTATGCAAACTTCTGTTGTTTCTCAAACTTTCATCTAAAAAAGACATGAAAATCTTTGCTATATACATATTGGAAATATTCTTAAAATGAAACAGGATTGTCGATGACAGTTCTCATTTGATTTGGTGCAGGTCTTCTCAAACGTGATAGTTCATGGGAGTTGTTGGAAATTGCTGTGCTTGCTTGTTTCTGTGCCATCCATAACCATGGCTTTGATATGCTATTTTCATTCTCAGCAATTGTGCAGCACACTCCCAGCCCTCCAGTTGGATTTAGTATCTTGAAAGCTGGTCTCAGTAAATCAGTCCTCTTGACAGTGTATGCTCCACCCAGGAACAAGTATGGCCAGGAAAATAGTTATGGTATAAATTCATCCACAGTATGAATAATGCTGTGATTTGACATATAATCATAATTTTGGTGATTTCTTATGTCTATTATGTGCTATGATTGTGTTTTTTTTCTTCCATTTGTGTGCTATAGTGGCCACTATTGCTGTTCTTCCATTGGTATGCTATAATAGTCACTATTACTGTTTCAACCTTGTCATCACCATCAAGTACACTTACTTCTATGTTTTATCTGCTTTCAGAGACTAGGATAGCAGCTTTCCTTGGTGCAATTGGGCAGAAGTTCCTTACCATGTATCGATCGTGCGGAACATACATAGCATTTCTCACTATTCTTGTCACTGTATACCTGGTAATACCCAATTACATATCTTTTGGTTATATCTTCCTCCTCCTCGTCTGGATGATTGGAAGACAGCTTGTTGAGAGGACCAAAAGGCGTCTGTGGTTTCCACTAAAGGTCTATGCAATTATGGTGTTTGTCTTCCTGTATAGCTTGAGCAACTTCCCAGCTTTTGAGACTTGGCTTTCTGGGTTTATCGATCTTTACTTTTACTTGGGATACAACTCAAAAGCTTCACTTCTGCAAAATGTTTGGGAATCACTTGCAGTGTTGACAGTAATGCAACTTTATAGCTACGAAAGGAGGCAAAGTAAGTATGTTAGATCAAGAGATCCTGAGCCATTGAAGTCTGGGGTACTTGGGTTCATCAAACGATTCCTCATCTTGCATGGCCAAAAGATCTTGTTCCTCGCATTGTTTTATGCATCTTTATCACCGATTAGCGCGTTTGGGCTTATATATTTACTTGGCCTTGTCATCTGTTCAACATTGCCCAAAGCTTCTCGGATTCCATCAAAGTCGGCTCTGTTGTACACTGGATGTCTGGTTACTACCGAGTATCTCTATCAGATGTGGGGAAAACAGGCTGAGATGTTCCCTGGGCAAAAGCATTCTGAAATTTCCCTTCTCTTAGGTTTCCGTGCATATGAGCATGGTTTTTGGGGGCTTGAAACAGGATTGAGAGGGAAGGTGCTCGTGATTGCAGCTTGTACACTTCAATACAACATCTTCCGTTGGTTAGAGAAGATGCCAACTACAATTCTCAATAGTGGAAAGTGGGAAGAGCCTATTCCACTGTTTCTCTCAGATGATGATGATTATATTGATGGCTGGCGTGCCAATGCAAATAAACCACAATCAGCTCATGGTTCACCTTCTGCTGCGAGAAGAGAGAGCATAACTACAAGCAACTCTTGGTCATCTTTTACCTCTGGTCTTCCACATGCACCTAATGCTACTTCCAGCAAAACAGTGGGTTCTGAAGGTGGTGATACTAAAAAGTTTTCATTTGGATACATTTGGGGAAGTACCAAAGAGAGCCATAGGTGGAATAAAAGAAGGATACTCTCATTGAAAAATGAGAGGTTTGAGATGCAGAAGACTATCTTGAAAATATACTTGAAGTTCTGGCTTGAGAACCTGTGTAATCTTTTTGGCCTAGAGATTAACATGATTGCTCTGCTTGTTGCCAGTTTTGCCTTGTTGAATGCCATCTCTTTGCTGTACATCGCACTGCTTGCTGCTTGTATTATATTGAATAGGCAGATCATAAGGAAGCTATGGCCCGTACTGGTTTCCTTGTTTGCTTCCATACTAATCCTTGAGTATATTGCTATATGGAAGAGTATGCTTCCCCTGAATCAACAAAATCCGAGTGAGACTGATGATATACATTGCCATGACTGTTGGAATATCTCAGCTCAACATTTCCAGTATTGCAAAAACTGTTGGCTAGGTATGGATTTTATCTCTGATTCTCTGCACTGGTTTCTTTAGGAAATGTGCCAACTGAACTTTACAACTTGGCTGATGATTTATTCATTGCTTTTGCGGACTGCAAAGTATCAAGTCCTCTTCGTATTAAAATGCTTCTATACTTTTCAGCTGCTTAAATAATTCCCGTACTTCACTTTGTCTTTAATCCTCTTGTTATGGGGGAAAAGTTCCAATAGGAGATAGAGGAATCCTTGGTGAATTCAAGTGCATTAATATTGTTTAAGCTTGTTTTAAAGTACAATTCTTTTGAGCGTTTGTTATTGCTAACTGCAATATTCCTCTAGTTTCTTCTTTTTCTCTTAACCAATTTTAGTTTTTTACTGAGCTATTTAAATACATATCCACCATCTTGGAGGTCACCATCAGTCACGAGACCGATTTCTTATATGCCCTTTTGACGGGCTCACCAAATGACATTCATAATGCTCAAATTCATCCAAATATGTTTTCTTTCTATGATGTCAATCTGAACCATGAATGTAAGTTACATTAGTCGAGTCAGAAAGCCCTTGAGAATTCTCTCCTTCTGTACATATCTATGATGAAAACCTATATGATACTAAATCTGAAGAATGCTGCGTCTTCTTTAGGGACAGTTTAGTGGACTCACATTTCAACTGTTTAGTCTTCTGATTTTTCTCCTTCATTTCTGGATGGTGACTTCAACTGCTGTGTCTTCTTTAGGCTTCGTGGTCGATGATCCAAGAATGCTCCTGAGCTATTTTGCAGTGTTCACATTGGCCTGTTTCAAACTTAGGGCTGATCGCTTGTCCAGTTTCTCTGGCTCATCAACATATCGCCAAATGTTGTCCCAGCGAAGGAACACGTTTGTTTGGAAGGATCTATCTTTTGAAACCAAAAGCATGTGGACTGTTCTTGATTACTTGAGGCTTTACTGCTATTGTCATCTGCTGGATCTTGTGCTTTGTTTGATTCTGATAACTGGGACTCTTGAGTACGACATACTGCATCTTGGTTATCTTGCATTTGCTCTGGTTTTCTTCAGGATGAGGCTTGTGATGCTCAAGAAGAAGAACAAACTGTTCAAGTACCTGCGCATATACAACTTTGCCCTTATTGTACTTTCTCTTGCTTATCAGTCTCCTTTCTTGGGTGTGTTCAGCTCTAAGAAATGTGAGACGATAGATTACATATTTGAGATCATTGGGTTTTACAAATATGATTATGGGTTTCGGATTACTGCAAGATCTGCACTTGTTGAGATCGTCATCTTTATGCTGGTGTCTCTTCAATCCTATATGTTCTCCTCTCTTGAGTTTGATCATGTTGCTCGGTATCTTGAAGCAGAGCAAATTGGTGCAATTGTGCATGAAGAAGAGAAGAAAGCTGCTTGGAAAACTGCACAGTTGAAATATATCCGTGAATCTGAGGAAAAGAAGCACCAACGCCATTTGCAAGTGGAGAAGATGAAAGCTGAGATGCTCAACCTACAAACTCAGCTGCATAGTATGAACTCCATTGGTAATTGTAGTGCCACATCCTCTGATAAGGAAGGCTTAAGGAAGAGGAGGAATGCACATCTATCTTCGTTGGATAGGGATTCTGGGAGCCCTGGACAAAGTGAAACAACAGTTCTCGCGAAGCAAGAGGAGGTCACTAGAGAGATCACATCATCATTTTTGTCTGAAGCAAACGAGTATTCTTTGGCGGGCTTAAACACAGAAAACCCAGCAACATCAGCAGTGTCTCCTAAGCATACAATGTTAGAAACTCCTTTTTGTGAGATTACTGAGGTCGGACAGGAATCATTTGATAGCATCCCACCTTTTGATTCCAGTAAAAAGGAGAAACTATCAACCAAGGAAAATCCTTTAATTTCTGCTGTACAGTTAATAGGTGACGGGGTTTCTCAGGTTCAGTCCATAGGAAACCAAGCAGTGAATAACCTTGTGACTTTCTTGAACATATCACATGAAGATCTGGATAGCAACGAGAACTCTGGGGAGGAAGAAGAAGGACGTAATAATAAGGATACAAGAAAGGTGAAGTATGTGAGTTTGGACCGTACATCATCTTTGCAGTCTGACACTAGTACCGATGCTACTAGTTTGCAGATAGGGCGCATCCTATGTCATATATGGTCCCAGATGCGATCCAATAATGATTTTGTCTGCTATTGCTGCTTTGTTCTTGTGTTCTTATGGAACTTCAGTTTGCTCTCAATGGGGTATCTTGCAGCGCTCTTCCTGTATGCACTCTGTGTGAATACTGGGCCAAGTTACATCTTTTGGGTTATTATGCTTATCTACACTGAAGTCTACATATTACTCGAGTATCTGTACCAAATTATAATCCAGCACTGTGGCTTAGGCATTAATTTAGTCCTGCTTCGTGAGTTAGGGTTTCCTGCTAATAAAATTGAGTCATCTTTTGTCATAAGTTCCTTGCCACTGTTTCTTGTATATTTGTTTACTCTCCTTCAGAGCTCTATAACCGCAAGAGATGGGGAGTGGATGATGCCATCGGGGTATTATTTCAAATCTCGAAGAACTGCTTTAAATAGGACAGAGGTTACCACAGTGAACTATAACTGGAGGGAGAGAGCTGTGGGGGTTTTGCATGTAATGGAAGAGACGGTTAAGCTGATAGCTAGAAGCATCTTTAGGTATTGGGGATCACTCACACAGGGAGCAGAATCTCCTCCTTATTTTGTTCAGGTGTCCATGGATGTCCACTCATGGCCTGAGGATGGAATTCAGCCTGAGAGAATCGAATCTGGGATAAATCAACTACTTAAAATCAGTCATGACAAGAGATGCAAGGCAAATAGTGCTTGTCCATTCACTAGTAGTGTTCATGTTCAGAGCATTGAAAGAAGTCAAGAAGATCCAAACATGGCCTTGGTTGTTCTTGAAGTGGTGTATGCCTCTCCTTTGACAGGTTCCTGTGCTTCAGCTGAGTGGTATAAGTCACTAACTCCAGCTGCTGATGTGGCAAAGGAAATTCAGCAATCGAAAGATGCTGGGTTTGTTGAAGCAATTAGATTTCCTTTCCCTATCCTCTCTGTGATTGGCGGAGGGAAAAGAGAGATTGATTTGTATGCCTACGTATTTGGTGCTGATTTGAGCGTGTTCTTCCTTGTTGCAATGTTCTACCAGTCTGTCATAAAGAACAAAAGTGAATTTCTTGACGTTTACCAGCTTGAAGATCAGTTCCCAAAAGAGTTTGTGTTTGTCTTGATGGTTAGTATCCGTTTGTTCTCTAGTCTTTCCCTCGTGTTATTGGAATAATATATGCATGCTATAAGTTATTTGTCTGCATCTTTTAATTTTGCGAGCTAATGTGAGATGTATTTGCAAAAACATTGCTTTGTGTTGTGAATCGTGCATGGAATCTGCCATAAAAATGAAAAAGACATGTACTACCTGCTTTTCTGTACTGCATTTTCAGTTACTTCCTACCCCCAACTATTGGAGATTGCTTCATTTTGATGAGACTGCATGCACAGTTTTAAATGCAATCAAATACATCAAAAGTGTCTATGGAAGATGATGCGTTTGTTCAATTGCGTGCCATATGCAAGTATTACTCTCCAAATACACGTAACCAAACAACCTGGTACTGCAAATGTAAGATATAAATCTGGGATAGTTGACCATTTAATTTGTGCATAAAGGATATTAATGTGGTTGAAGCTTCAGCTCTTGGCTGCTTATTTTATGTATGTGTGAGTTTAAGCCTCTGTTAGATACAAATAACAGAATTAGAACCATGTACCACCTTCATCAGCATCCTCGATGCATGGTGATTTGGGGACTTTTTTGTTTTTGTTTTATCTGATGATGGTGCTTATTAGTCTTATTACTTATCTGACTGTTCCTTCTTGCAGGTAGTATTTTTTCTGATTGTCCTTGACCGGATAGTTTACCTCTGTTCATTTGCTACTGGGAAGTTAATCTTCTACATTTTCAACCTTATTCTCTTCACCTATTCAGTTACCGAGTATGCGTGGAACTTGGAACCTTCCCAAGAACATGCAGCGGGCATTGTTCTGCGTGCTGTATTTCTGGCAAAAGCAGTTTCATTGGCGCTTCAAGCCATACAAATTCGCCATGGTCTCCCTCTTAAAAGCACTTTGTATCAGCAGTTTTTGACTAGCAAGGTCACCCGGATCAATTATTTGGGTTACAGACTTTATCGTGCTCTGCCTTTCCTCTATGAGTTGCGATGTGTATTAGACTGGTCATGTACTACAACATCTTTGACCATGTACGACTGGCTAAAGGTAAAATCCGATGGTTTACTAGACATGATCATGGGTCAGTTATAGCTGTAACCCTATCATTCTTGTCATGTCGTCATTTTTTTCTCTTACTCTATGCTTAAAGTGATGTGAAATTTTATTAGTTACTACTGGAGCTGAAATCCAGCATATCTTATCCTTTTCAGTTGGAAGACATACATTCTAGTCTGTACCTGGTCAAGTGTGATGCAGTGTTGAATCGAGCTACACATAGACAAGGGGATAAACAAACTAAATGGACCAAATGCTGCAATGGGATATGCCTCTTCTTCATATTGATGTGTGTTATTTGGGCCCCCATGCTGGTAAGAATGCTAATTTAATCAGTAGGCAAGTTCTCTGCAAGGTTCATGTATGCTTATTGGTCTTTTTGAAGATAGAGCATCAACAGAGTTTGTCGCTTGCTGTTTATGGTTTATATCCTACTAGTAACAGTTCAATTGTGCTAAGTTGCTAATACCATCACCTGCCTTTTCCATTAGGAAAATGTTGCGTGTTGTTTAAGAAGTTCGAACTTAAATTGAACAAGTATGTTCGTTTCAGATTTTCAAGTAACTTTTTTTTAACCTCGTAACAAATCCACTCGTAACTTTTTTTCCCCCGAAAATAAATAATATTCGTACCAACTATAGCAAAATTTAGCTTAACAATACCTGACACACTTATTTGTTCACTGCAGATTTACAGCAGTGGTAACCCTACAAACATAGCAAACCCCATCAAAGATGCTCGGGTTCAGGTCGATATCAAGACAGTTGGTGGAAGATTAACACTATACCAAACCACTCTGTGTGAAAAGCTTCAATGGGATCATGTCAACTCTGCTTCTAACCTGGACCCACTTGGTTATCTGGATGCGTACAACAAGGACGATATTCAGTTAGTTTGCTGCCAGCCAGATTCCAGTATGCTATGGCTTGTCCCTGATGTGGTTCAGAAGAGGTTTATTCAGTCACTTGACTGGGAGATGGAAATGGATATAGTGTTCATTTGGGTGCTAACTAGGGACAGGCCAAAAGGCAAGGAGGTTGTAAGATATGAGAGAATCGTTGATCCTCTCGATCTTCCATCAAGATCAGATGTTCAGAAGGTTCTCAATGGTTCTTCAAACAGCTTTAGGATATATAATGTGTACCCAAGATACTTCCGAGTCACTGGCTCAGGTGATGTTCGACCTTTCGAACAAGAGGTGAAAAGCTAATAGACTTTCCCATTCCAGTTCTTGTTTGCTTGGGATGCAAGTTATTCCCCATACTGAGAATGAAAACAACTGATTTGTGGAAATTTGAAGATGCAGGTGAATGCAGTAAGCGCTGATCTCATCATGAACCGCAATGAATTCAGCTGGTGGATGTTTTATGACATCAATTCTACAGGTGTAGGCGGCTGTGGAGGTTTGGCTGGGCCCACAGCTGTCATAGTATCCGAGGAGACACCACCACGTAAGTCCTAAAAAAACATTCTCTCTATTTGATTCAATTGGGTGGGGGCATCAGTGCCTGTCTTCAGTTGATCTCATAACCAAGCTTCATCGAATACACTTCTAACTTCCAACTTCTGCTCTTATAATCTAAGTTTAAATTGGTATGGAAATCACTTATTTTCATATTTTCTACATCTTCAACTCTACCTTCCTTTTCTATAGAACTTCAAATACTTTTGGGCGCGTTTTCTCAAATAGGCCTCCAACTCGTTGGATCAAAACGAAGACATGGTCTACCAATGATAATAGTAAAAATTATATTTTGAATGCTTTAAATGGATATTTGCAGAGGGAATTCTGGGTGACACAATTAGCAAGTTCAGCATATGGGGTCTCTACATTACCTTTGTGCTTGCTGTGGGTCGATTCATCAGGCTGCAGTGCTCAGACTTGAGAATGAGAATACCATACGAGAATCTACCTTCATGTGACAGGTACTGGATCCCCTACTTCCATATTATGATAATTTTCTCTTCTCTTTTGTAAGCTTTTTATTATTAGAATTGTTGGCAACTCTATTTCGAAATGGTGTTGATGCACTCTTAAAATAGGCTTCAGAAGAATTTTAATCGCTTGGAAGAAGTAGGGATGACAATCTCTGGTCTATATTGGCCGAGCATGTATTCATCCGTCCTTGACCTGTTCTGTTTAACTTCTATCTAATATTTATCAAAGTACTCATGTTTTAACTTATGTTAAATCATACTTTAACTCTAATTGAGATACCATGAAGTGAGTTTCCATCTTTTGAATTACTTGACTTCATTAACCATGTCATCATTTACTTTTTGGTTTGAAAGTGTTGTTTCGGAAAATCTTAAATGAAATAATCGACTTTCTGCATATTCTACCTTTAAGACCCATATCCAAATGAGTCGACGTACCCAAACTTATGTCTCGAGCAAGATTAGATTTGACCCACGCCTGATGTGAGGGCGGGAAATGGGTAAGCTACCTGCCCATCCCCACCTCTGGATCCCATTCATGTTCTCGTTCCTACTCGGAAACGACCCTCTGCATCGAGAAATGCTAGGTTCACTCTAGCTGCTTCATAACAGGCACAGTTGGTTTCCTTTTCTCTTGGCAGGTTGATAGCCATTTGTGAGGATATATATGCAGCAAGAGCAGAAGGTGAGCTTGGGGTAGAAGAGGTCCTTTATTGGACGCTTGTAAAGATATACCGATCGCCACATATGCTTCTAGAGTACACAAAACCAGACTAAGTCTGCCTGCCTGCAAAAGTTACTGGGTTACTTCTAGTTGCAAGTTGCAACAAACTGCAGAGAGGGTTCCTCCCCTCTTGGAAGTTAGCAGTCAGTACGAGCATAAAGTCAGCCAGCAGTGTATAAATCCCGATTCTTAAGGCATATCTGAATTCCATGGAGTTCTCAACACCCCTAATCAGTTACCTAGTTAGTTCACAAATGCTGCTGATTCGAACAGTGTGTGGTTACTAATGGTTTGTTACGAGAGAAAGCTCTTCTTGCCGGTTATGTACATATTGAGTTTTGGACTGCGAAGCTGAGCATATATTTGTACAGATCAGAGGTAACCTACTTGTACACTATCCAGGACTTGAAAGTTTTATACGAAAATGAAAATAGAGATGTTGTCGACTGTGTTCAGAATCAGAAGTACCAGGCTCTCACCTCAGTGGGAGTATATATAATCTTTGTGAAACCGGTGCGGTACCAAAGACTAAAGATTCAGGAATCAGGATATAATCTCAAAATCGTGTACAACCATACTGATTGTTATAAAATCCTACAGATTAAACAATGTTCTGATCAATCAATAAACTTAGTACCTAATTCATAAGGATCATAAAACCCTTTCTGATTCAACTCCGAAGCAAAGTCTTGCCTGTTCCCAAAGAACCCTAGCTCTCCAGGAACTTCCAGCAACTGTACAAAAACAGAAACCATCTTCCTAATTGACCTTTTCACCTAGCAAACCCTAGGCGCATCAATGTCTGATCCTTGGCTTAATATATGTAATGCTCCCAATTCCCAGTGGTGTGGAGCTACCACTAATTAACGCCATGAGCATCAACTCTTCAACAGAAAAGAGAATTACAATCCTCATTGTTTGCAATGAATTTCAGAGGCTCCTCTACCACTTCATCATGATGAAACAAGACACTGAATAAGGAAACAGACGCTAAGGCTCGCATATGAAAACTTCATTACAGAATACAGTTAAGAGGTCAGACAAACAAAATCATTTCACACTTCCAACATTAACAGAACAAGAAATGCGCATTCTACATAAACAGAGTCGTGTCAAACCCCAAGGACAAACATAAGGGGTACCACACCATGAAAGGGGGCACACCAAACCCCCGTGGAAACTTCTACTTCAATCAAGCTTCTTCCTTTGTGATCTTACTTCTCTTGCTATTACCACCATTGCTACTGGCAGCAGGCATCTTCTTCAGTGCATCCTCTGGTATAGTATCTTCCATAACCTTGGGAGATGTGAAGTTGAAGTCATCGAGCTTTACGTCTTTGTACTCCGGGTTGGCCTCTATGAAAGCACCAATCTCGTTCCTTGTACGGAATTTCTTTCCCGTAGGACTTATATAGTAGGCATCCATCTTGGAGAAATCTCGCCTGAGAACCAAGTACCTCTTGAAACCCCTTGGGGTTTTGGGAAGTCCTGGTTTGTCAATGACCCAGGTCCGGGATGAATCATACTCTATATCAGCTGGGGTATCACAAGTGAGGCCTTCTTTCGATTCACAAGTAAATTTTACAGAGCTGCTCTTGCTTCTGATATCCTCGTACTCTTCTTCTGTTGCCATCACCCTCCATTTCATGCAATTATGGCATTGTGCGGCATATGTGTCGACAGATCGAACCGCCCCGCGAGACTGCAAAGTTGGAAAGAATCACACGACTAATAAGAATCATTCATCATTCAAACAAAACAGGATAAAATGCATTTAAGAACACAGGACCTGAATCTTCAGATAGGTATGTAGATGAAGTAGTTGAATGCATTTTTAAGAGAGAAATGTTAACAATCCATCTATGGTGGTCAATGCAACTCAAGGATACATTATTCGTAGGAGTAGCCTCCTAGGAATCAATACTTGTTCTTCAATATCGTTAACGACTATATAACTATGTTGGCCCAACACAAACCAGAGTGGTCAAATATGAAGTTTCTTGATACTTTCCAGGTTCCGGTTTTTCCATTTCGCAGTCTAGTAAAGATCTCACTAAAGGCCCTACTGTTAATCAAACAGATAATACTAGGCATACATACACCTTGTGAATCATGAATAACACTCAGTTACAGAAGCAAGAAAAGATTGTCATACCAGTCTAGTATATGTCGGGCACACTGAAATCAAAATGTAACTTTCTATAGACACGAAGGGGCTCGTTTGTAATTGTAGTATAGAGCAATCCTGCTACAGTTCCAACCCTCATTGCAGATGGAACGTCCTAGCGTGATCCACGTCTCGAGCATTTCGCAATCCATGGCTCGCGCGCAGTCCACGTACACGCCAGGTGCATCAATCAGATGTAGACCGCGGAATGCAGAAGCTGTGGATTGCGCTAGGACGTCCCAAGCGTGATCGTTGGATCGACCATTAGGGCGTTGAAACGATAGCCTGGATACAGTACAGATTCACTACAGTGGGGAATCACCCTACTTCATAAGGTTAATGCGCAACAAACCCAATACTCTAATCCAGACTCTATGAATATGATTGCCCAGCAGAAGGGTCTGGAAATGAACCCACTTTCGCATCAACACAGTCAATCATATCCATTATCTTTTCAGGGTTTATGTGAATCTAAAGATGGCGTTGGGTTACTGGAAACCAAAGACAAGATAACCAACTGAATTTATGACTAGAGAGAATGAGGAAACACGCCCTAAGGATTCCGAGGATTGGGGATTTCGCCAATAAAAGAGAACGAGAGGGAGTGAAGATCGAACATAGGCGAGCTACCTTGGAATTCGAAGAAGTTTTAGGGGTCTCCTGGATGTCATCTTTCATAGCGCCTCTCCCTCTCTTATTTTCCCAACTTCTTCTTCTTCCTCTTCTTCGTGTATCTGGCTCGGCCTCTAGCGTTCCTCTCCTCAGCTCTCTCAGCAATGGCCCGAGCTTCTACTTTTACGCGGAACCCCAAAAATAGAAACAAGAGAGTGAGAGGAGAGACTGGGAATACGGCTTCGCAGTAAAATAATGATAAAAATAACGGAACAGCAGCGGACCGTTTCACCTCACTGCTCTGAGTCATCTTATCTTAGACATGTTGACTTTTCAGTTTCCTTGTTGCATTCCAAAATATTTGATAATAGATAGGCCAATGTCTATTTTTTACATTAGCCTTTTTTAGATTCTTTTATTTTGTCCAAACCTATCAAAATACTATGAATTAACCAATCGTTAACTCATCGTCAACTTTTCCGTTAATATTGCTGACTCGACATAACGAATCTGAGTTGGCTTCTGACGTGGCAACATATCATTTTATATTTTAATTAAAAAAATAATAGAAACAAAAATTAATAAAGTGAGTCGCCGTCCACAGCACCCTCCTCTCCTCCTGCTGGTGCAGCACCTGGAAATCAATCCTCACTTCCCTCCACTCATCTCATCTTTCTTGAACAAAATCCCGACGCCCTCTTCACGTCTCCAGACCTAGCAATTCCCGCCTCAGCTCCGACCTCTGCCGCCGAGCCCAAACATGAATGAGAACACAAGGGGCATCGCCGCCTTGCCTCTGAGCCAAGGAGGAAGAACGACGGGCAGCTTCATCGGTCGATCTCGCCAGCGTCGTAGAGACCCATCTCCTCTCTAGCCGACGAGGAATCTCTATGATTCAAGCGCTCATACCCCTGCCGCTAGTTCGCGAGTCCAGGGAGGCAGGAACTAGTTCGCCCATCTTCAATCTTAAGGTTTGCGGAGTCATCATCGACCAACTCCTCCCAAACCGGTATAACAAGCATCGCCCTCAGCCTGAAATTTCACCCCGCCGCATCTTGCTCTCCGGCTTCGGCATCTTGAGCGCCTCTGACATTCAATTGAGGAAGCGGAGGTAGGACCAGAAGTCCAAAATGACGACACATATGACCAAGGCGCCGCCGGCGTGGGTGGGTCTGGTGCAAAGGACCTCAGAGAGGAGAAGAAGAAGGTATGTATCTAGATCTCTCTCTCACTTCCCCACTCTCCCTCCCTAACTCTAGGATTAGGGATTTTAATTGGAATTAGGGTTGGGGGGAAGGAATTGAAATTATGAATTTGGGGAAATTTGACTGGCTGGGAAAAGAATGAGGTCTGTGCGATAGCGGCGTTGATCCTACACGAGGTGTTCCAGTCTAGGCTGAGCCGACTCAGATCCATGTTCAAGGAAGAATCGTAACGGTTTTGTGGCAAGATTGGGGGTTGCGATTTTTTGGGTTTCAAAGGTCTGGTTCTGTGAGGAAGAAAAGGTTGGAGGAAGAAGATTATAGCAGCGGTGCCGGAGAAAGGAAGGGGCGAGCTCCTGGTTTCACCAGCAATGGTTGCGGAGAACTGAGGAAGAAGAAGCTAAGGGAGTTGGTCGGACGAGTTGTGTTTTTTTTTTTTTTTCTAAATTAAAATTGAAATTGAATATGTATTCATTTCTAACGTGGAGGTCCGTTACGAAATAAGTAACGGTAACAGAACGAATGCCCAGACTTTGATCGGTTACAATAAGTTTGGATAATAAATAGAATTTTGATATGTTTGGATAAAAATAAAAGAAGTTTGAAAAGGTTTGGGTAAAAAATAGACATTGCCCTAATGGAAATGGGCATTGGGTAAGTTGGGTGGATTTTGACCATAAAAAGCACTCACTCGCACTTAAACGGATTTATAATTTTTAATCTGCCACCTACCCACATTTAGTCTCGGGTTGGGTCGGACGAATGGTGGATGATGCGGGTAGGTTTGCGAGTAAACCAAAATCGCAAAGTACATCATATAGGAGTCAACTTGACATGATAATCGGTATAGAGAGTTATCGGGGGGAAACTAAAGGATGGGATTGGAAGAATAAATATCAAATTAGTTCTAAAATTGGATAGAAATTCTATTATGGAGGAGTTTTCTACTGGAGATGATTATCAGGTGCAGATAACTAAGGAAAATAATTCAACGGAGAAAAGAGAGGTGATCTAGGCACAATAATCAAAGGAAAATAAAGGAAAGAAGAGGGGATCGAGATTTGAAAGATTGGCTTTGAGGCTTAATCTCAAGGAGCGGTCCTTGTTTCCGTCTAACGTTTCCTCTCTCCAGCGCCCACGCCTTTGTTCTTTTTGTTGTTGGGTTAAGCGGGTCACCCACGCACCCGCCCACTACCCATCTGTCACCCGACGGATGGCTACAAGCGCAACCAGTCAACCACCCATAGACCCATTCAGATAATAAAATATGGGTCAAATGCGAGTGAGTCGGCCCAAACCCGCTGGTGATCCGCCTGCATGCCCAGCGCTAATAGAAACCATATAACTACTTTATCTAATGAATATAATAATAATAAAAAGGGTAAATACAATTTAATATCCAAACCTTTCATTTTAAACAATATAATAGCCCAACCTTTTCGTAAACAATCTAATATCCAAATCGTCAACTTTTCGTTCGTTTGACCGTTAGTTGACACTTCAAAAAAGCTTTGTTTAGGGGAAATTGTCACAATACAACTTTGTTTCTTGTCTTCGCATTGCAGATGACTGAATATTTAGATATTCTATACCATCATGGTCGAGTCATGGACTTCTCGGGTTTGGAACTACGATATGTTGGTGGTTTTTCAGAGAAGATATCGATGAATATTGATGAAGTGTCGTACTTCGAACTTTTTTGAAGTGTCAACTAACGGTCAAACAGACAAAAAGTTGACGATTTGGATATTAGATTGTTTTCGAAAAGATCTGACTATTATATTGTTTAAAATAAAAGGTTTGGATATTAAATTGTATTTACCCTAAAAAAAATTCATGTTTACAACTTTACCAATTCAAAATTCCAAATATCCTACCCTGCATCCACCTCAGCACCCTTTCTACCAATTACAATTTCTCTTTAACCTCTGTTCTAGGAAAATAAAAGATGGGGAAAATGGAGGGATTGCAACTCTTTCTTTGTTTATAAGTTCTGCTACCCTACGTATGAGTGATTATTCTTAGAAGAAAAGTTGTAGCAGTTAGAGGTGGCAAAATTGGATTGGTTGATTCATGAAACAAATGGATTGGTTGATTCATGAAATGGTGGATTCAATGGATTGGTGGATTCATGGATTGGATCAAGTGGATTGGTGGATTATCCGTGAATCCAAATGACATCCTCAACCAAGGACCAATATGTAAAATGTGAAAAGTTTAGGTATTAAAATGTCATAATGAAAAATTTTAGGTAACAAAACGTAATTTCCAATGATATTTTTCGTATAAAAAATTAAATTTTGGATACCAAAATGTAAAATATAAAAAGTATAGGTATCAAACCGTAATTTTCCATTTGGATCCATGATCTACCAATCCAATTGGATTTGGATCAAATGGATTGGATTAGCTAGATATTCTTAATGGGTTGGTGGATTGGATTGAGAATTGCCACCTCTAGTAGCCGTTGCCTCCAATTTAGGTGAAAACAATTGTTATCTCTTATTAAGCCCTTTTCCCCCTCCTTTCCCCTTCAAAGTTCAAAGTTGAACACATATTTTCCCCTCATTATTTCACTACCCTCAAAATTTCCCTTCCCCTCCCCAATTTCCTCCCTCTTTTGCGTGAATGAAGTGACTTTTTTTAGTCTCATTTTAATTTATTGTTTTTTCCCCCCCGGTAATTAGCATATCATTTCAGCCCCACCTGATCGACTGATGAGGGTGCAAGCCCCACTGTTTTGGCTACATACAGAACCAAACAATTATATTTCACATAATTATATAGGAGACTACAAAAATGTATTTATCTCACTTCTCTACTAAATACATAATTTCTTATATCATGAAAAGTAACATTTGGTGCAACTTCCAAACACACGACACGGACACCTCTCTTTCCACAACAGCCTGTGAGTCCAACACCAAACAACACAAGCTACTCACCTGCACACCTTCCTTCCAACTAGGGCTGGAAGTTTGGTACCGATATTTGGGATATACCGAATACTGTACCGAATTTGTCTATATTTGGTATTATCGAATACACGTATTATTTTGTGGGATTGAGATTGGGATTGAGATTGAGTTTCAATTCTTACATCACTATTTCACACTAGTATTAGTCGTCTCTCAACCTTAAAGATTATCAATTACAAAAACTTGAGATGTTAGCTCTAGGCAACTCAAGACTCTTTGCTTTGTCTCTTTAACCTAAATTAAAAATAAAATCTAATTTATATATTTAATTATTAATTACGAAGGTAATTAATTTTGTATTTGATAATACCGATTGGGATACCGAGGTACCGATTGGGATACCGAAATATTTAGGGATTGAGATACCGAAATTATTTAGGGATTGAGATTTGGATTGATTTCATGGTGTAATTCGATATTTGGGATTTCGGTATTTGGTATTGGGATACCAATATCGTACCGATTTCCACTCCTATTCCAACTTGGTTATCTTGCTCACATCCTTGTGACCAGGTGCTTACTAGGTGAGATAGCCCTCGAGGCCTCCACATCCCCATCAACCAAGTTGGAGAGTTGATATTCATTGGTTTTGGGAAAGAAAGGGAAAAAGTAGAGGATCCAAACAAGTTTTGAGGATGTGTTCCCACAATTTAATAGATCTAACTCACTTTTCTTTTTCATTTTTTCACTTTCTTCCTCTCTCTTTTCATCTCAAATGACAATATTGGTTCAGATGCTCTAAATACTTCTCTCATGCGTTAGAATACATGTGCGATGCTTATTAATACGTGTTCATTTGTGTGGAATATTTATTGGCCTCAGATAAGAATACTAGCTCGACACTTTTGAATATTTGTTTGACGTCTTTGAATGCATACTCAAACGGGCCGAACCATTATTCAAAAGCTTCCAACTAATATTTTTTTGTATACTTTTTTTGCGCTTTTGAATACTGGTTCAACGCCTATGAATACGTACTCAAACGGGTCGAACCAGTAGTCACAAGCTTTCAACAAATATTCTCATATCCGAGACCAACAAATATTACACACAAAGGCGGTCAAGTTGCGTAACTCAGCCTTTCGATCAGTCCACTCAGCAGTTCCGTTTGCGATGTCATGAAAAATCTAACGATGTTAACGTAGTATGACGGTTGGTGACTAACGATGAAACGATTCGTAAAATTAGTAACCAATAAAAAGAAAAAGTAATTCGGAGCGACAAACATGAAACATTTATGTAATTTAAGTGACCAAACATGTAATTTAACCTATAAATTTGATTAGTTTGTTAATATAGATCATTGAAATGACATTTATTCATCTGTTTGTCTTACGGATTGTTGATGGTTGGTTTCTAGTACGGTTGTTATTAGTTTATGAATTTAGTCTAACTAATTTAGTAATTTGTGGCCTGGACCTTTGCCACCAATGGCAATGTCGAACATCCCTTCTAGACTGCCTGAAACTGAAACATACAATATGAGACGTATGCATTATGCATACACTTTCCAATAACGACAAAAGATTCTGCGGCAAACCAATTTTATCAATGAATGAAAAAAATCCGAGTGTACTTCACATATTTCACCTCAAGGACCTCACATTACAGAAGAAAAATAAAACCCTCATTTACATACATACGGACTACGGAGAGGTAACTGTCAATTCTCTCCCGACATATTTGTAGCAGTGGTGGTGATTTAGCGCCGCCGCTACGACGATTCTGAAGTTACAGAGTCGGACTCATCTTCTTTCAGTCTCCGAGCTCTACTCTCATATGGTCGATCGTAACCAGAAGAAAACCCCATGCTGTCCATCGACTTGTCCCCAACATCCAACGGGTTCACCATAAACGTCGGCCGAGCCGGGATCTCAGGAACCACCATATCTGCTTCCAACATCTTCACCACCTGCTCCATCGTCGGCCTAGCGTGCAGCTCCGTGTGCGAACAGAGAATCCCAACCATCACATATCTCTCCAACTCATCAGCTCCACCGAGCTCCGGCATACCGTCCTCCACCACATCCAACGCTCTCCCTTCCCTCGCCAGCCCCCAAGCCCAATCCGCCAGCAGCCGCGGCTGGTTCTGGCTCTCCTCGTCTTCGCCGCTCCTCAGCATCGCCTTCTTCCCGCTCAGAAGCTCGAGGAGCACCACGCCGTAGCTATACACGTCGCTCCTCTCCGTCAGCTGCCCGTACAGCGCGTACTCGGGTGCCAGATACCCCCACGTCCCAGCCACGCGGGTGCTGAGATGGGAAACCCCTTCCGGGTTCGATTTCGCTAGCCCGAAATCCGCCACTTTGGCTTCGAAATCGTCGTCCAGGAGAATGTTGCTGGCCTTGATGTCACGGTGGATGATCGTCGGCTGAGCTCCCGTGTGCAGGTAAGCCAGCCCTCTGGCCGTGCCCAGTGCGATCTTCCGTCGAATCGGCCAGCTGAGCTTCGAATTGCCGCCGCCCCCGTCGTCGAACAAGTGGTCGTGGAGGCTCCCGTGCTTGAGTAACTCGCAGATGATCATCCTCTGGTGACCTTCTGCCGGAGTGGTGGCGATACAGTAGCCCTTCAGAGCTACCAAATTCACGTGGCGTATGCTCGCAATCACCGCCACCTCGTGCGCGAAGCTTTCGTCCCCTGAAGCGGAACAGTTCTTGAACCTCTTCACCGCGATTTCGGAGCCGTCGGGGAATACACCTCTGTATACGTTTCCGAACCCTCCTTTCCCTACAAGGTTCTGCACAACGAAATTCTTGGTCGCCGTTTTGATTTCCTCGTATTTGAACTTCACAAGCCCCGCATCCAACCCCATTTCCAGTTCCTCCTTCTCCTCCACCTCCTGCTTCTTTTTCTTCTTCCATTTCCTCCTCCCCAGCCAGATCCCTAATCCAAGAATCAGCAACCCTCCGGCACATCCACCGGCAACGGCCGGGATTAGGGTTTTGTTCGAGTTTTTGCTGGAATTGGAAGCGTTGGAAGTGAAATCGAGCAAGAACAAGCAACTGGCGGTGCCGCTATCGGTAGGGCCGAGGGAATTGACAATCGAAGCGGCGTAGATTAAAGGATAAGCAGGGCAATCGGAGATCTGACCGATGGAAGTCCCGTTGAAACTGTGGACGTTGGTCGTCAAAGCCGAGACGCAGGTGCCGCAAGGGGATCGGTTCTCCAGCGACTGATTGCAATTGGAGATGATATTGGCGAGCTCGGATGCCGAGATCTGGGACTCGAAGTCCTGCCTCGTGGTGATGTTGAGGCACCCCTGCGAGATCCAGCTGGTCTGGAAGCCGCAGGAGGAGCGGGCGTCGAAGTTGGGGATGGGGAGGAAGTCGTCGACGAGGCGCTGGTAAGAGCGCCAGCAGGATTCGGCGGAGGAGAGCGGCGGGAGGAAATCGTTGGTCCGGCGGAGGTAGTCGGACTGGACGAGGCGAAGGCCCTGGCGGAGGTACTGGCAGGCCTGGGTGCGGTCGACGGTGGGGATTCTTGCGTTCTGGACGAGGTTGCGGAGGACGGAGAAATCGAGCGGGCAAGGTTCGGTGGTGTTGTTCTGGGCGACGGCGGCGGGTGGGGTGAGTAGTTTCAGGAGAAGGATGGAGAGGAGGAGGAGGTGGTGGTGGGAGGCGGCGGCGGACATGGCGGCGGGAGTAGGAGGTGTTGGTGTTGCTGCTGCTGCAGTTGATGGTTCATTTGTGTCTGCACTGTAATTGCGGCCTTGCGGGGGTGGAGTGGGGGGAGAAGAATGATGGTTGAATTAGTGGCCCCTTTTTTGCAACTTTGTTTAATCAAAATCCCATTTCTGTTTGGTGTTTATTTGAGGAGGGGTCTTTCATCTTTGGGAATATGATGGGTTGTCTGATTTTGACCAGTGGGGATATAAAGCGAGCTGACCTGAGCACGCTTGAATTGAATGGATCAGGTAGCTAGCTGTACCCCACTTACTCGGTGTGCCTGTGCACTCGAGATGGTGTCAAAACATAGCCCGACCCTATTAACCCGCCCGATCAATCCGATCCGCAACCCGACAGCAATCCGAATTGACTAAAAGTCAACAACTCGTAACCCGCTCGACCCGCAACCCGATTGACCTGTAACCCGATTAACCCGAACCCGATTGACTCGCAACCCGACTAACCCGCAACCCGATTGACCAGAACCCGACTAACCCGTAACCCGACCGACTCAACCCGAATTTCATCTAATCCACTTGAATAATTATAAAAATATACAATACATAGTTTTTCAAAATAAAGTTTTTCATCCTAAACTTAAGTAAAATTATTTTTCATTTCGTATAAGAAATTTTAAAAATATGAAACTCACTTGATATTACGTATTTTAAGAAAATTACAAAAATTGAAACATGAAGGTCACTTGAGATCATGACAATATTAATATAATATATAAATTAAAATTTTGGTTAATTTAACTATTCAATAAAATTATCAATTAAATATAAATAAAGTAAAGTAATGCATTTGGTAATTTGATGTTTTTAAAAAAAGAGGAAAATTTTGGTGTATTCAAGTTTTTGGGAAGAGAAAGAAGAGGAAAATTTGGTTTTTTGAATTTTTTAGAAAAGAAACAAGTGGGAATTTTGGTGGTTTTGATATGTGGGAAGAGAAAGAAGTGGGAAACTTTGATTTTTTTTACTATGAAAGAGAAATAAGGAGGGAAACTTTTGACTTTTCAACTTTTTGTAGAAGGAAAGAAGAGGTTAATTTGGTTCTTTCAATTTTATGGAAGAGAAAGAGGAGAGAAAATTGAGTTTTTCTAATGTATGAAAAGAGAAAGAAGGAGGGAAATTTTAGTAATCTTTGATGGTTCCTTGTTTAGGATATAAAGTATATGGTTAGGGTATAAGGTATAAGGTATAAGGTACATATGGTTTGGGGTGTATATGGTTAGGGTATAAGATATTGATGGTTTTGACGGTTCTAAATTTTTTTATTAACATATGTTCACTTGAAGTCATTTGAAGTCTTTAACGGCAGGAGATCCCTTTTTAATTTATGTTTATGGTACGTGGTTAGGGTACAAGGTATGTGGTGTAAAGTATAGGATATATGGTTAGGGTATAACAATTAGTAAATATCACTTTTTATCTATGTTTTGAAAATCAAAGTATGAATTTCACTTTTAAATTAACTATACTAGCAAAATCACAACTCAAGGACATATGGTTAGGGTATAGGTTATGTGGTTAGTGTATAATGTATTGATGGTTTAGGGTATACAATCAACAACATATACTAACTTAATATTGTTGATTGAGGGTAAAGCTAAGTGTATAGGATATATGCTATTGAGTAAGTTATGATTGAAGTCACAATAATTTTACTAAATTTGATAGCTAATCTTTAATGGTTCAATTTTTAGGATAATTCGAACAATTTTACAAATAACTCGTTTGGCAACAGTTTACTAAAGTTATTTGGGTTATCACTATGCTTTTGCCAAATACCACACGACAAATACCAGATTTGCATGGTTATACTAAACGAGATACTTTAATCCAATTACTACTGAATTAATACTAAAATATCAAATAAACAATTAACAGTGTCTTTTGATTGCAAATATTGATATCACCATTACTATTAGCTATAATACTTTACCAATTATGATTAATTACATAACAAGTTTGCAAGTCATACAAATTGATTTAACTTTTTGACTAGGTTTTTTCAAAAAAATAAAGTATATATATACGAGGTAGAAATAAATTGGTTAAAAAGTTGAGAAAATATTTTAAAGTAGTGTAATAAAATGTGTAAGTTGGTAATGAGCAATGAGTTAAGTTACTTGATGCGCTGGCCCGAACAACCCGAAACCCGACCCGCCCGACCCAAAACCCAATGAACCCGCAATCCGTTTTGCCCGCAACCCGTTTGAACCCGAACCCGATGAACCCGAACCCGATGAACCCGCAACCCGACTAACCCGCAACCCGTTTGAACCCGAACCTGATTGAACCCAGCCCGAACCCGCCCGAACCCGCCCGATTGACACCTATACTCGAGATGAGGGGTTGAATTAATTACTTAATAAACAAAGCTACATATACACATGGTGCTTTTTTAGAGATATCTCAAAAAGGAAATAGTTAGGTGGACAAAATAAAAGGAGGTTTGCAGGTCAAAATAAAGGTTGTCAACTAGCGGGTTGATTTGGTTTGACCCGAACTCGTCAATGAAAACGGGCGTTAGCTGCCCACTAGAGTTTCTGCCCGGATTCGGTCAAATCTGGAAAACCCAGACGGTTGGACCGCGAGTGTGGGTCAGTAGGCGTTGCTTTTAGTGCTGTGTCTTTCGGGATTTTGGCTACGGATGGAAGAGCAAATCCGAAACCCTAGACTACTCTTCTTCCTTCTTTCCGTCAGTCCGCCTCTTCCTTCCTCTCCCGAACTTGTTGTTGCTTCAACTAGGTCGCCGAAATCGATCCCTAGCAATCGGCAGGCGGGCTCTAGGTCGGCGGATTCGTCTCCTTTGCGTCTCCTCGGCGCCAACCGTTAGCACTCGACAGCGACCATCAACACTCGTTCTGGTCGTCTCTGTTAGTTATCTGTGAGTTAGTGGTGTCCGACGAAGGAGTGGGAGTGAGGCTCCTTGCCGTTTTGGAAGTTGGGGCTGTAGGGGCTCTGGAAAAGTGGAAGTAGTCTGGGCGGCGGGGAGGAAGAAGAAAGGGTTTATGGAATTGTTAATGGGCATTGGGCCTGGGGAAGTGAAGGGGAAAAGGTGGAATTTGTGAGTTGCCTTGGCTATAATTTCTATAATATAAGTGTTTTTGTATTTAAGTTGATGTTATTTAAGTGTGTTTGAGTTTAGGTAGTGTTGCATTTTTTCATGTTGGATTTAGGATAAGTACAATATAATAACCCTACACAGGCTAAGCTACTATGTCCTTCTGATATTCACTCTCCTGGCCCTGCTTTTGATGATGCCCTACGCACATTCAATGAGTTTACAGGTTCTGATATCTTACGTGACCCTAGCGAAGTTGTTGCCCCAAAACTTATGAAGAAATTGGAAGACATATATTTCGCGAAGGTTGTTGCTTCTTCAGACTCTGTTTTCTCGTTGACTACCCAGCAGGTTGCTTTGTGGAAGTCCCAGCAGAGTGAGCACTCTTCTGAATGGTTGCGTGTTGTCCCTATTGTTGGGTTGGGTCAGACTATGAATGGAAGGACCTATCGTAGTGTGCTTAGTTATCGATTGGGTGTCCCATTATTTTTGGTATCTAGGCCCTATTCTGCTTGTTCCCGTGTCTTTGATGGTGATGTCTTTGGGGATCATGTTGTGTCATGTGTTGGTATTGTGAACGAGACTACTCCACGGTGAGCCGAAGCTCGAGTCAATCTTATTAGCCACATCTCGTCTGCTGCACTCGGCTATCTTAATCATCCGAAGCTCACAATCCTGCCCTCTTATACTCCACGTGAGTATTAGGGTTAGATATGGCAAAATACAAAATGGTCTTTCAAAATAATAACATTTACAAAAGGATCACACATTTCTACACCACCAGCTCCAGCAGTAGCAATTCTTGATTAAGTTCTCGATTTTGGCATGCTATGTTTTGGATACTTTGTACAAATCATAATGAATTGGGGTCAAAATGCAACACGATCTAAACCTTACCAAACACTAATCTATACCGTTTGGTTTGACCACACCGATAACTTAGCGGTCAAACATGCGGTGCGGTCCGATTAAGATGCGGTCCGAACTGGACCGATGCGTACCCCTAAATTCATGAGGAAGCATCCGAGAATATTACACCATGAGTCCATGACACGTTGGGAAGTCTCTTGGTGGTTGGAGGTGTAACAGTAATAGACACTCTACCTTATGTCCTCTATGCATATTTTCGCGCGAAGTAGGCAACCTAGAACGATTACCTCACCTCTCGTATCGATCCATGTGAAATGGCCCTCACTACGTCCTAGGAATAGCAATCTGACCCCTAGGCATCAAGGTTATTTCTGTAAAAGTGATTACATATGATTTGTTCTATTATTTGACAGGAAGCAAGAGGGCAGTTTGGGAGTGTGAGGATGGAAGTAGGGACCCAGATAAGCTGCAGCTAAACAATCAACGGAGAATGTAAAGAATGAGAAGGAATTTAAGTACATGGATGTTTGAGCATTGGAAGGACATGTCAGCATGTTATTAGAATGATGTTCATGGTTTCAAACTTTTCATACATGACTTGGCGCCTCTGCTTGTGCAGTTCGCTAGTCCGATCCTTGATCTTTTCCCGGCTGCAGAAAATTGTGTAATCTATATTCGTTTGGAGATTCCAGGATCCAGAGTCCAGGCGCCATCAAACTTTGCAGAAGCCAGAAAAATAACGTGGATGACATGAACAGTGCATGAGGGTTGTTCTGCAGAGAATCAAGCTTTCCCTTCTGGGTTGCCCCTCCCACAATCATTGATCAAGCAGCAAGTTGAATTGCTCCTCGGAATTCCAGTACTGAAGAGGCTGTAGTTCGGGCAAGGCCACCAACTCTTAGCCCCGATATATAGATTTGTAGCCATAGTTGTAATACCAGTTTTGACAGCAGGAATAACACAACAAGAAAGTAACATTTTTCTCCTTCTCACTGTTTCATCCATCAACAAATGCCCTGCAAAATTACAACACGAGCACGACGCGACTCCCCTAGGCAGACTTAGGAAATTTACATTGCTTCGTTATCTCTAGATCTGACAAAACAGAGCGAGCCGGTGGCTGCTTGCTATGGCTAACAACCAGTAGTAGTAGCATCAGTGGTTTTACATTACATTAAATTACATTACATTAGTGAGGGTGTACTGACGAAGTTCTTAATCTCCTCCATCAGACAATGGAAGTGCTGATTATTGGGCAGGAAGTAGAACCCAATCGTAGCATCTTGCAGAAAAATGAGCTTCACCTGATTCCCAGCTCGCTCCATGCCTTCAACATACGCTAGTTGCCAATCCTGAATCAGATCCAAACCCGCCACCACCACCAAGCTCTTGGGCAGCTTCATCCCCTCTAGCTCCTTACTTCTGGGTCCAAACACGTTACACGCCGGATGATCTCTGTTTTCCCCTTCCGCCAAGAAAGCTCTCCAATACCAATCCCTGTCCTGCACCGTCACAAAGTACTTTTCGTCCAATCGCTTCTTCGATTCCGTTCTCGCCTCCCCGCCGAACATCGGATGGAGCAGGATGTTGCCCAGTATCGAAATCCCCGCTTCCGCGGCCTTCACCACCACATGGTGAGCGATGTTCCCGCCGGAGCTATCACCGGCGAGGTACACATGTACATCGGAGGAGGAGGAATTGCTGGCGGAGGAGTGGGTGAAGCTTCCGCAGTGGAAGAAGACAATTACGGGGACAACGGCGGCGGTGCTGAGTGGGTTCTGGAGGTCGATTGGGGGATCCAATTGGGATTGGGGCCGGTAGACCCGGTTGAGAAGTTTGGTGGATCGGCCGGGAGCTTGCGGTCGAGGAATTCGGCAATGAGCCGTCGGGGCGGCGGAGGAGATTGTAGGCTAGCTTGAAGTTGGAGATTAGTACCCAAGTGTTGAGCGGAACCACCCTCTGCCCCAGCAAAGAAAACAGAAGCTTCGAATCATGTGGCTGCACAGATTCCTTTCATAACCGGAGAATCATTGCTTGGATTAAGAATCCTAAGCTATGGAGATAGAGCAGACAAGGAAGGAAGGAAGGAAGGAAGAGAATATATACCTTGGATTCATTGAGGTTGACTTCGTTATCACCAGCCATGCGACCTCTTCTTCTTCTTACTGTTCTTGTTCTTGCTGTTCAAGAAATTAAAGAGTGGGAGAGAGACAAGTGGGGAAATGGGTTTTGGTAGACTTCTCCTTGTGCTTGCCCAAAAAGGCAAAATCATGCCCTGCCTCTACCTACCGGTGTTTATATTTGAACCATGGAAACGGAAGAAGAAGAAGAAGAAGAAGAAGAAGAAGAGACAAGGGAGTCTTCTTCCACCTTCCTCTTTTTGGATTCTAACTATGCTGGTTCATTTGAAAAGGAGTGGGGGGAGAGGAAAAAGAGAAGAGGACAAAACAAGGAAGAAGCCAAGTTTGACGAACCAAAAAAGGGGTCCGAGAAGGACCCGATTAGCTTCACCTGTTTGCTTAATAAATGACTTGGAAAAGAGGAACTGCTAGCAATCATCAACTACAAGACAACAAACCCAAAAGCAAAGGTAAGGGAGTGGAATGAGGGAGGTGGCGTCTGTTAGATCAAACAATAGACGACACGGCAGGCATTTGCCTCGCGTCCTATGGTAGTACGCTTTTATTCTCTTGTCTCATTATCAAGGTTGTGAAATCGGGATATATCCTTTTTGGAGTGAATTTGGCAAATGATATAATCCGATCAGATTATAACTAGTTTATGAGGTTCATGTATGTTAAATAAAATATAATAAATGTAAAAAAAAATCATTAACATAAGATGAAATTAAGTATATAAAAATATATTTGAAGACAATATACATACGGCCTATACTCATACTAGTTTTTTGGAATGTGTTTTGCGGCGGTAAAAAAGTTGAATATATTTAAAATTTCATATACTCAACTAATAATTTAAAATATTCATGTAAGATACCCACATAAGTTTTATGCAAGGTTGTTAAACCCCTATCGAACCCCGGTCCGACCCGAGTCAGGCTTCAAAATGGCCTCCAGAAAGCCCTCCCGGTCTGACCCCTAAAAAGGGAGAAGAAGAGAGGGGGAAGAGAGGAAGAGAAACGAAGGAAGGGAATGGTGGGTGGATTATGAAAGTTAGTTAGATTTATTTTGTTGAAAATAAGTTTTTAATAGATATATGTAAGTTAAATTTTATTTCACTCATTAAATCTTTAATTACTACCTTATTTGTATATATATTTAGAAAACGTCTAAAACGGCTCGAACCGGTCGGACCCCGATCAGACCATTAAACCTCAAACCCCTTGCTTGACCGGCTCAATGACTTAAACCGGTTTGACAATCTTGGTTTTACGTAATGCTTTAATCATTACGGAAAACTTACATGATCTATTTGTAACTTACGTAATTATTATAGAACGGCGTTAAATAAATATTCTGTAATCTATGTGCTAATAATAAAATCAAGTTTCATAAAAATATAAGATTTGATTAAAATATAATATAAAAGTTTTACACAACTTAATGGAATCTTGCATAATTCAAATTGATTAGATGGTGAATATTGTAGTTAATAATAAAAGAATTAAGATAAGAAAAGCATTACAGTTGATTAAATTGTTATTTAAAATAAATGACCTTACAGAAGATTTGTTCAATGCAAACTGATGAGATGGTCAACAGTTTAATTATAATAAAAGACTTTTCTTCCAAACTTATATCAGGAAAACCTTCATAATATGTTTGTTTAGTTGATATATAATAATTATATCCTCCAAAAGTTTTACTTAGTGTCTTAATTTATCACTGAAGACTTAAGTAATATATTTTGTTTAGTTGATACATAAGAATATTTATTCTACGTAAACTTTACATAATGTATTTTTAATTTATATAACTATTGTAGAAGGTGAGGAAATTGTTATAGAACGACACTACATATATCTTGCATAATTTATGATCTAATAATAAAAGCAAGAATATTTTGTAAAGTTAACTTACCTTATGGAAGTTTTGCATAATACAAATCCATGAGATGGTGAATGTTATAGTTCATGATAAAAAAATAAATTGATTTAAAGTATCATATTTGATTATACTGTTATGTAAAAATGACCTTACAAAACCATGATGCAATGCACATTGATGAAATACATAACAATTTAGTTAATAATAAAGCATTTTTGTTCAAACTTATATTATGGAATACATAAGTAATATATTAATTATTAAGAAATAAATATTTCTCCATAAACTTTGTTGTTCGAAGCAAGAAGTCAAAGTTTTTGGCCTCTCTCATAGGTCAGCACGACGAAGTTCTTCGCTTTCCCACTTAAGACTCCTCCGACGACGTTTTGAAGAAGCAGAAAAAGCCGCCTCTTTCATTTCAACTCTCAGCAACTACGAAAGAATTCAAGAAGACCTGGGAAGTTAAACTCTGCATTCAATCGCTGGAGAAGAAGATGCCTTGAGAAATTTAGCTATTTAAGTTCTCGACTGTACTCTCAAAAAATCACTTTTGTGATTGCAAGAAGCAAGTGCTTAGACAGTGCAATAGTCCCTTCGTTGTTAAACCAAGAGATGGTCATAGCTAGGGTTTACTTTTGTAGTTCGTCTCTTTGAGCAAGGATATAGCTCATGACAGTTTTTGTTGATTGATCAATAAAGTCTACTTCTGTGTCTGTCGGTGTAATTCAGTTCATCTTGCTGTGTAAAAGGATTACTTTGTTCTTTGTTAGAAAGCTTTTCCTTCTGGAAACGAATTTAAATTGGTATCAGAGCCGGCTTCTTGTTGAGTTAGCTACTGGCAAGAAGAATCATTTGTGGTTTTCAGAATGGCAAGCTCTTCTAGAAATAACTCTTTTCCTACAAGTTCTAATCCACCCGAGTTTGATGGGTTTGATTATCCTGTGTGGAAAAAGCGAATGAGGTTATTTCTCAGAGGCACTTACTCTTATCTCTGGGCTATTGTCAGAAATAGTCCTCTCGATATGGAGGTTGATAGAGAAAATAATTGGACTGCTGCTCAAATGAAAAGTGCTCAACTTGATTCTAGAGCTATGCGCATCATTCTATCTGCTGTATCTCCTACCGAAGGTAGGCAGGTGACTAAATGTGAAACTGCTCATGATATGTGGAATACATTTGAATCAACCTTTGAAGGAACTAACAAGGTAAAAGAAACTCGTATTGATGTTCTTTTAAGTGAGTGGGAATCGTTTGAAATGAATCAAGGAGAATCCATTACTGATATGGAAAAGAGGTTCACTAATCTGGTAAAAAAATTACAAGGACTTGGGAAAACCTTTTCCAACAAGGAACTGGTTAGAAAGATCTCAAGATCTCTTCCCAAAGAGCGGATGCCTAAACGTACGACTATTGAAGAAGCCAAGGATTTGATGTTTTTTCTATTGAAAATTTAATGGGAAATTTGCTTAGTCATGAAGAAGTTCTAAACCAAATGAACAAAGATGACAACAGAAGAAAAAGAAACATTGCTTTCAAATCATTTGCATAGAATCCTGAGGATGAAGAAGAAGACCGGACTAAGAAATTGCCATGTTAAGCAAGCGGTTGCAAAAAATGATCAAACTAAAGAAAGATAGATGTTCCTCCAAGTACTCCTCCAAACATGATGATAATAGATACTTCAGATGATACAGAAGTGATCAACGAGGTCAAGGTAAGAAATCCTAAGAAATTCCTGACAAAGATTCTTATGTTATTTGTTTCAAGTGTAGAAAAACATGTCACATGAAGTCCCACTGTCCACTTAACAAAAAGGAAAGGGCTCTAAGTGCCAACTGGAGTGATTATAGCTCCTGATGAAGACAATCATGAAATAAATGCTTACATGGCCAATGAAGAATCCTCGGAGGAATCGTACTGTGAATCATTCAGTGGAGGATACAAGGTAGTTTTCGATTGAAAGTCTACTTGCCCATGTGATATATCATCCTGCATTCAAGAAGTCTCAAATTTGAAGGATGAATGTGATAGGCTTGAAAGCATATAATGTTTTCTCATGTCTGAACTTCAACGAAAATATGAAGATCACAACATGAAAGGATAATCATGTTTTACAAAAACTAGAGTGCATAACTCCATGCATAGCCCTCAGCATCACCCCATTTATCACTGCAATTTCTGCAACAGAAAGGGGCATATTGAAAGATTCTGTTATGATAAGATTAGACCTATTACTAGAAAAGTGGCGCCCAAACTCGTTTGGGTACTCAAAGCTACTAATCATGAATAAATTTTGTGTAGAAAAGGGAGCAAAATCTCAAATTTGGTATCTTGACAGTGACTGCTCCCACCACATGTCAAGAAATGAAAATCTTTTCTCAACTATTGAAAAAGGAAAGGAGGTAAGGTAATCTTTGGTGACAACAGTTTTTGATACATTTGTGGACTAAGAAATATTAGTAAGGGTCCTAAGTCTTGCATTCATGAGGTTTATATGGTAAATGGGTTAAAGCATAATTTGTTATCAATAAGTCAACTGTGCAAGTCTGGAAACACTATAACCTTTGATGCAAACTGTTGTTATTGAACTTGATAAACTTACCTTACCTTGCCTGATGAATCATGTTTATTGTCCTCTTATGATCTTGAAATGTATTGGCACTGAAATCTTGGACACATTTGTCTAAAAAAGATATCACAGCTTTCTAAATCCAATCTTGTTAGGGGTTTACATGCATTAAAAAGAAAATTCTGGGTTCTTTTGTGATGCCTGTGCTGGTGGTAAGCTGTGCAAGCAAAGTTTTAAAACCAAAGCTAGTTTGACCACATCTCATGTCTATGAACTACTTCATATGGATTTATTTGGTCCCACTAACATGCAAAGTCTTGGTGGAAAAAAGATATGTGTTTGTGGTTGTTGATGACTTTTCGAGGTTCACTTGGGTATTCCTTCTTGCTTCCAAGGATGAAACCTTCAGTAACTTCAAATCATTTGTCATCAACGTCTTGAATATATATGACTGTTTTGCACAATTTTGCACTCTAGTTTCCTGACCGTTTTAGCTCGAATTTGTGGTTCATTGGCCTATTTTACGCTAGGTTGTGTTATTTTTTCACATTTAAGGTCCTAACAGGTAAATGAAGGCAATGGTGCAAGTTTCGGGTCATTTGGAGATCATTTGGCGATTCAGGGTGCAAAATACCGTTGTCCCCTGACGAATTACGATTGTGCTTCTGATGACGTCTGTCGATATTTTTACTCCGAGCCTGGAGAGTGGTCAAGTGCAAAATACGGCCGTCTTGCTAAGAATTACGGTCGTATTTTGCTTGATCCTGTCCATAAATTTTATGCCGAGCCAAGCCCGTGAAGATGTTTGAGGAAGTGAAAAATACGGGCAAGACCAGTTTATAAATATGGTCGTAGTTAAGTGAATACGAGCGGTAATTTGGTAAATACGATCGTATTTTCTCTTCATCAGCTTAAGTGAAACATGCATTTTTGGTAAAAATACGGGCATATTTGAATTACGACCGTATTTTTGCCCGTATTTCACCCAGAATCGGGTTGAAAGAGGCAGATTCGAGCCAAAGGAAAGGGATTCGACTTTTTGGAGCAAAAACAGAGTTCTAGAGAGAGAAAGTGCAAAGAACATACCCTCGGAGCTATTTTGGAGTGGATTTCTCACCATTGAAGCCCAAATTGCATCCCCAGGAGTGAAGATTGACAACCCAAAGCATATTATCCCCATTGTTATGAGTATGACTGCTTTGATTTCTGTTTTCCTCTCTCTCTCTCTCTCTCTCTCTATGGAGTAGACCTTTCTCTCACTTGGGTATGAAGAACCCTAGTTCCATGTGTTAGTGATTTGAGTTGTAATGACTTTTGGATTGATATACTGATTGATTTTAATCGATTGAAGTGTGTTTATTGAGTTAATTGAATCCTGATCAACTTCTTTTGATTTCTGCTACAACTTGAGATAGATAGAATCTGATTAGGTTGTTAGAGCTTCTTGAATCGATAGGAGTGAAGCTGTTCATACTGCCTGTCATGTTATAAACAAGGTATATGTTAACAAATGTCAAACAAAAACCCCTTATGAACTAGTAAAAGGAAAACCACCCAACATTGGTTACTTCCATCCTTTTCGGTGTAAATGCTTCATTCTAAACGTCAAGGACCATCGAGGAAATTTTGACTCCAAATCTGATGAAGGCTTCTTTTTGGGATGTTCTGTGA